ATCTGGATGGGTTGTGGGTCTCTATGGTCTGATCTGGATGGGTTGTGGGTCTCTATGATCTGATCTTGATGGGTTCTGGGTCTCTATGGTCTGATCTGGATGGGTTCTGGATGGGTTGTGGGTCTCTATGATCTGATCTTGATGGGTTCTGGGTCTCTATGGTCTGATCTGGATGGGTTCTGGTTCTTCATGGTCTGATCTGGATAGGTTCTGGTTCTCTATGGTCTGGTCTGGATGGGTTCTGGTCCTGTTTCTCTTGGTTTTAGTGTTTAATGTGTTTAACTGATACCAGTTAAAGATGGAGTTTCATGGAGTGCTGTTACCATCTATGGTCTGGAAGTGATGATAACAGGCAGAGAGCATAAGGGGTCGGACATGTTGAGATACTACATGTCTCCTAAAAACTAAAGTTGCCTTTAAATCAGAGTAAAGTCAACAATCAGACTTAAGTGGCTTAAACCAGTCTGGCTCCCAGTCAACAAGCAACCACATTACAGTAACTGGTTTCAGCAGGAAACAGAAACGTTCAGGAGATGGTGAAGTCTGACCTGGTGGGATAGTGGGTGGTGGTCCAGAGTCCTGCACAGCCGTCCACTCCAGCAGGAAGCCTTTTCCTGCTATGAAGGAATCGGACTGGAAGTGCAGAGTCACGGTGCTTCCTGAGCTCCTCACTGGATCGGGCAGGTTCAGACCACAGAATCTCCCGAGAGGGAAGGAGTAAACATCTGGGCCATCAAATATCTGGAGAGAAAGGAGAGCCGCTGATGGTACTCCACCAAAACTGCTCCTCTAGTCCGACTCAGAAGCTCCGCTAAACTATTCAGCTCTAATTCCAAAACGTTGGACCACATAACGTCCAACTGTGCTGATTAAAGAGCTTAGAGGTCGTTCCAGAAGCATCTACTAGGAGGACCAACCTGAGGCAACAGTAACCCTGGATCAGAGACCTCTGAAAGCATCAGTCTATTATCTCCATCTGGATGGTGATAAGATACAATTCCATAAGATTTGTGACTATTGGAGGAAGTCCTGATTGGCTGTAAATCTAACAGACCTATCAGCCGGTCAGTCTGACTGCATTGATTCACTTTCGATCAATCTAGATGAAGATAATCTGCTTCCATCAAAGACCAGCAGCCGTCTTACCTTCAGCTTGTCATAGTAGCAGTTATAGAGGTCCTCTATATCCATGTCCAGGAAGCGGATCTGGACGTAGTTGTCTCCCTCCACCGTTATGGTCCATCGATAATCGGCATCATTAGGATAATTCCTGGGATACAGCGGAGACGCAACCTGACCCGATTCCCCGATCAGATCAACGCCATACACTGAGGAATCACCACAGGTTCAACCGTTAGCTCTGCTGGTTGGGCCACTCTATCACCAATTAACATTAGAGTTAGCATTTTTAGCTAATTGGCTAAAGGTCTAGTCGTTCTTTGTAGAACATCATCAACTACATGAAGAACACTGAAATCAAAAACTATGAATTTTTTGATCAGAACATCTAATCTCCTTCCCTACATTCATGGGAAGAGTCTATAGATATTCTATAGACAGAGTCGCCTTCCCTCTAAGGAGCAGAGCTTGGACGTAGAGCACTCACCATGTGAGAAAGTGGCTCTGAAGCCGGCCCCGCTCACTGATTCATCTGAGACGAACTTCACCCACAGGATGTGAGCGCTCACAGAGGTGTAGTTGGAGGGAAGCTCCGCCCCACAGAACCGACCAACAACAGGTCCAGAAGAGTTTGCTTCTCTGATTTCCAGGTAGTCGTTCTGACAGCTTCCCTGAAGGTGAAACATACTGAAGAACAGCTGCTGTTAGGATTCTGACATGTCTAAAAACTGATGATCATAAAAACATCAGAGTTCGACTCCTTAATGTTCCAGGTGTTCAGAGCATCTTCACCGTTGTCAAACTGATCCAAAGGGTTGACTGTGGAGCACATGGCGGACATGCTGCTCATGCTGCCAACATGTCCAGGCCAATGTTAAGCCAGACTGGGAGGGACTGGTATGAACACAACAGGAAATCCCTCCATTTTCCTGCGTTTTATTGTCATTACTCTGCATTTAAACCACCCCTGTGGGCAGCAGTGGGCTGCCATTGTGCGGTGCCCAGGGAGCAGTGCAGGGTTAAGGGTCTTGCTCAGGAGTGGCAGTCTGTGGGAGTGGGGCTTGAACTCCACACTTGAATTCCAATCTCTATGTCCTAACCACTAGACCACCACTCACCAAAGCAGGCATTAGTGAAGGGTCTTTCCTAAGGACCCACCCTGGCAGCTCATCCCCTCCAGCTGAGAGACAAAGCCAGGCTTCCTGTTTGCAGGACGGGGGACAGACCACTTTGAGCTAGCCAGCCGCTAATGCAGGCTTATGCTTCTCCCTCCATCTGCTGTCCTTTGTTAACTTTATGTTTGTTAAAAAAAGGTTCATCTTGGTTTAAAATGATACTAGTCTAATGTTGGTTATCATCCATCCATCTTCTTCCTCTTATCCGGGGTCGGGTCGTGGGGTAGCAGCTTCCGTAGGGAGGCCCAGACGTCCCTCTCTCCTGCTACTTGGTCCAGCTCCTCCGGGGGAATCCCAAGGCGCTCTCAGGCCAGCAGAGAAACATAGTCCCTCCAGCGTGTCCTGGGTCTCCCCCTGGGCCTCCTCCCGGTGGGACGTGCCTGGAACACCTCACCAGGGAGACGTCCAGGAAGCATCCTGACCAGATGCCAGAGCCACCTCAGCTGGCTCCTCTTGATGTGGAGGAGCAGCGGCTCTACTCTGAGTCCTCCTCGGATGACTGAGCTCCTCACCCTATCTCTAAGGGAGAGCCCGGACACACTACGGGGAAAACTCATTTCATCCGATTGGAGCCAGGATCTCGTTCTTCCGGTCATGACCCAAAGCTCATGACCATAGATGAGGGTAGGAACGTAGATCAACCGCTAAATTCAGAGCTTTGCTTTTTGGCTCAGCTCTTCACCACAACAGACCGGTACAGCACACACTTCACACCAATCCGCCTATCGACCTCCCGCTCCATCTTCCCCTCATTCCTGAACAAAAGACCTCAAGATACTTAAACGCCTCCACTAGGGGCAGTTGTTTATCAGTCAATCATTATGATTGATCCGCAGCCAATCAGGGATCAGCTAGAGACTGCTCATGTTTCTAATCAACTTTCTACATTTGATTAAAAATGAGCTTTCAGCCTGTAATTGAAATGAAGCAGGCATTCAGAGAGGATGCCTATTATCCAAACCATCCCTGTGGATGAAGGCGAGCCATGGGTCCTGCAGACTAGAAGAAGGCCGGCGGACTCACAGGAAGGAGAGCTGGATACGGTTCCCTGGTGAGCTCCTCAGGGTCCAAACACATTCCATGTTTGGAGGATAGGCGTCTGGATAGTTGGGGCTGTTAAAGGCCCCGCTCTGCATCACCAGATCGCCGCCACAACCTGAGCAGGTAGAGAGCAGGATTAAACATGGCTGCAGCGTCACTCAGCGCCAATGAGGGCTGGTTAACGGCGTTGGACCGTACTGGAGGTGGAGGCAGAGTAGACCGCCCTGAATCCTCTCCTGGACACTGAGTGATCAGAGATGAAGTTTACCACCAGAGAGTTGCTGAAGGACGTCACAGGATGGGGTATTTCATCGCCGCAGTATCGCCCTGCCGACAGCAACAATAGCGACGCATGAAGCTTCACAAAGGTTCACATACTTTTAAACAGCAAACTAAACAGACTGTATAGAAATTAATGTTAAATGTTTTACTGCCTGAATTCATCTCAGGGTGGATCAGTCTTTAAATTCAACCTCTTTATACCCAGAATAATTAAATGGTTTATTGAATTAAACGCTTGTAATTAGTGCTTCCTTTAAACCATACAGGAAGTACTGAAATGATGATGTCATTGGTCTCCACCAGTGGGGGCAGAGCTGGGGATCATGGTGGCCCTCCTACTCGGTCTGCAGCCATAGTCATCCAGTTTGATGACAGTTGGGGAAGCCTGAGCAGCTAATGATGTTTAAAACATTCAGGACCTGCAGAACTTCAAAGGATTCCCCGTTTTATGGGTTTTATGATCTCTAAGCCCAAATCATGGAAAGATAAACAGAAAATACTTAAAATCATCGAAATGGTGGATCCTGAACCTAGAATGGTTTGAATTTTGGTATCAAGCAAATAAAAAATTTTGGTATCAAGCAAATAAAACAACTTTCCATGAAATTCCAATGTTTTGGACCGGTCTGTCCACGCGACTGAACCAGGCTAATCCTCCTTTAGTGCAGTCTATAGAAATGATGGTTGGTCTATTCAAAGGATGGAGAGAACAAGCTTCCTGAGCCTGATCAGGCCATCAGAGAGAAACTGCTAGCAGATAGCATGAGGCTTAGAGGGCTAACCATGCACTTAACTCAGTAAACAGATGGTCTCAGATGTAAACAACATGGACATAAACAGAGTTCCAAACATAGAATGGATCTGATCTTAGTACATCCCAGTTTTACGAAGACTTAATGAAAATAGAGTTAATGTGTTGGAGTGGCCATCTAAAGGTCGTGATGTTAACTCAGCATAAACCATCCGGTAACACGGATCAGCCAGGAGGAGAGGCCAAAAACACCATGACAGCAAAGGACTGTAAGGATCTACTGGAAGGAAATCCAGAGGCTATGATTCGGTTCAGGATGTTTGGTTCTACCAAAGCTGCCATAACTGTACCCACCGATAGAAGGCGCCTGGTAGTTGTCTCCATCAAGAATTTCCACGGCATCATGTGAGCAGTTGGAATTTAGCATCTCCAGCTCGAAGTCAGTGAAGGACAGGGTGACATGGTTGACTAGCCAGAGAGGGAGAGTCAGAGGGTCACTGATCAGCTCCATTATAGGAAACACTGGACACTGGAAGGCTGCAGCTTACATGGCTCCTGTGCTTTGATGATCCAGCTGCAGTTCTGGTTGGGCGGATACATCTCTGGGTACCGAGGTGATGAAATTGCTCCACCAATATCATCTGCTGTGATCGTTGCTCCACAAGCTGTTAAAGACAAGCTGCTAATAGAATCAAACCCCATCGTCACAGATCACACCTGAAACCAGGTTAGCAGGGCAGGCAGAGCGCTGTGGGACTGACCAACCACCATGATGAGGACGGTAACCATGACCACCATGATGAGGACGGTAACC